TGAGACCGTGGCAGTGTATTTCACACAGGAGGAGTGGGAGCTGCTGGAAGAGGAAGACAAGGGGCTTTACCGGGAGCAGATGCTGAGGAACCACCAAGCCCTCGTTTCCCTGGGTAAAGCTCTGGTTCTTGCCTTGCCCTCGAGCCGTGTGAGCTCTGCAGTGTTGTTGTCATCTCCTTAGTTTCATAGTTGGTCGGGTCGGAAGGGACCTAAGCAGATCATCAAGTCCGACTCTCTGCCATGGGCAGTGAAGAAGTATCTCCTGATGTCTAGTCTGAATCTACTCTTAGTCAACTTATGGCTGTTGTTCCTCGTCACCCCTGGTAGTGCTCGGGGGAACAGGGACTCCCCCAGTGCCTGCTGGTCCCCCTTGGCCAGTTTGTAGACAGCCACCAGGTCCCCCTCAGCCTTCTCTTGTGGAGGCTGAACAGGTTCAGGTCCCGTCGCCTCTCCTTGTACGGCCTGTCTGTCTGCCCCCGATCATGCGGGTGGCCTCCTCTGGACCCTCTCCATGTTATCCACATCCCTCCTCAAGTGCGGCGACCAGAACTGGACGCAGGACTCCAGCTGTGGCCTGACCAGTGTTGCATAGAGGGGAGGATCACCTCCCTGGACCTGCTCGAGATGCATCTGTGGATGCACGACAAGGTGCGGTTAGCCTCCCTGACCGTGTCCCCACATTGGCGGCCCACGTTCATTTTGGCATCAATAGTGACTCCAAGATCCTTTTCTGCCTCTGCACTGATGAGAAGGGAGTTCCCCAGCCTGTAGGTCTGCTGCTGGGTCTTCCTCCCTACGTGCAGCACCTTGCATTTGTCAGTGTTTAAACCCATCCTGTTCTCATCCACCCATCCCTGTAACCTGTCTAGATCTAGTTGCAGCCTGTCCCGCTTTTCTAGCTCAAGGTGGGGATGGGGCAAAGCGGTAGTGCACAGAGGGCCGTGGGGGCTGGGGGCAGCTGGGGCAGGAGACACTGCCTAGTGTGTCCTGTCCAAACTCATTTCCACTTATTGGCCTGGAATTGCACTGGTGTTTGCTTTCCTATGACCATATGTCCACTACCTGGATGAAAAGGACCATCCTCTTCCCCCTGCTATGCCTTCCCTTTCATCCTAAATGTCCATCCTCCCTTCTCCTTCAAGTCCTTAGTATAATCCTTGAGTTCATTGGCTCCATTCCCCAAATTTCAGTTGCTTATTCTGCATCCAGTACCAATGGTTAAACTCTCTATAACCACTGCCCAAGCAGGATATCGAGGCCCTGCTCCTGACTTGATCTGCCGCATCCAGCGAGGACAGGTGGAGCTCTGGGTCCATGATGATGAGGACCGTGGGGAAATGCAGAAGTCGGAGGACGTGCTGCCAGGTGAGTTGTGGCTGTCCCCTCCACCCGACTCCCCTCTCACAAATGCTCCATGCCCAGGGTGAAAGGGAGCCTGGAAACTGCAGACCTGCCCTGTGCTGCCATTTCGGGGTGCTGACCTCAAATAGCTTATGCTGTCATGTGTGCAGACGGGTGTTGTTCCACCCCCTGAAATGCAAAGTGTGGAAACTGTTACCAACAGGATTGTTTTTGTCAAAGACCCCCAGTGTTTGACATGGCCCCTTGCTGGTATAATATCAAGTAAACCTTAATAGTAATTATTGCAAGTTTTATCCTTGTAATATGACCTGACAAGTGGCTCCATTAGACATTACTGCAGCGGTGTTTGGTGGTGCCAGCCTCGAGTCCTCCGCTGGGTGTGGGAGATGTTTGTTTCCGGCTTTCCCACTGTTCAAGTACAAATTGTACGACTGCCCCCCAACTCCCCAGAGTAAGAGCATGCGCACAACACCCTCTTCCTTTGTTTGTTCACTACTTCAATAACTTTCTCATGCCAAATTGCCTAGTCCCCAAGTTCCTTACCAGCTGAACAGTTTTTCACAAGTGATAATTATGGGTAAGTCTTTTAATCTCTTCCAGTACTCAAATGATGGTATTCTTTAATATTTAAGATGGCTTTCTGGATCAGACAAACATCCCATGATCAGGGTTTTTGGGGACCAGACATGTTCTCGGGAATCAAGCCCCTTCTGTATAAAGGGCAATGTTTCCTTGTTGTTTCAAATGGATTGCTTGGTGCCACGGGAGCACTCCCAGTGCCCCTCTGCCCTGCAAGATGCTGGAGAAATGCTAAGGGTCAAAAGGAAACCAAAAAAAGGATGACAATAAAAACAAACGGTCAACCCGCCCTTCTCGATCTTTGGCGTGACTGATATGTTTGAGGCCCAGGAGGCCATGCTCCAGGGATGTACCATTTTCTGTAGCCACTTTGCAGATATTCCCGAACTCATCCAGAAGTTGTGCTTACATTTCCTTGTGTAGCATAGTTAACACCACAGCCACTTACAGCAATAACGGTACACAAACACAGCCGCGCAAGCAAGACAATGACTGCAGAACGCAGTGAAGCTCGACTCTTCTTTGTACCAAGGGAACTTCTTGATGACTCACTGCTGGTCCACAACCTGGAAAACACAGACAGAAAAGGGAATGGCTTAACCCCCTTTAAGTTAGTTCATGTCATGGGATCACTTCTGACACTGTGGCTGGCTTGGCCCTGGCCCTGGCCCTGGCCCTGCAGGAGCTCCTTCACAGATTCCCCTCTTAGCAGCTTGAGAGGCTGCTTTTTTCGCAATCTTTTCTGCTTCAAGTGACAGCTGCTGCAAGGTGTACCCT